CAGCGGGGCCGCGCTTCCTCCTCCCGCAGAGCGGGAATTTGCCTTGTCCATCCCTCCTCCCTCCCCCTCCCCATCCGTGCTTGGGGCCTCCGAGCAGTTCTCGCCCAACATCTCGCCAGATGTTGGGCGAGAAGAGGATTGGTCCTACCTGTGGTAGCGGGGTGGCTTTGGGTGTTAGGGCCCATCCTGAAAATCAGAGCATCAGGGAGTATCTGGCAGCAGTTAACCCAGATGACTGCTGCCAGGAGGTGATGGGGCAAGATTTGTGACACTGCCTAGGACAGGCAGTATGAATGACAGTTGCATCAAGAAATGAGATGTGATGGTAGGAAAAGGGCAACTGGTAACAATTTTGCATGTTTAATTTTTTTCCTATAAGGTGCTGCGGGGTCACATCGGCGTATCTATAGACAGATCAGTCATGTAGTGCATGAATGTCAACTAAGGCACAAAAGGAGGGAAAAGTGTCCAGATTTGAAAGAAGTCCAAAGAATTATCTTGTTACTGAGGAGTGATGGACAGCTAGCTGTCGTATGCTAGGTACCACGCATAGCAAATACCTGGAGTCCTGCTGGAGTCAGGATGTCTACTGCTCCCATTTCTTGGCTAGGGGTCAGACCTTGAAAAGGGTTGGATTATTCTGGGGTCCTCAGTTCTTGTTACTGCCAGTGTGAGAGTTGCTGGATCAAGAGTTCAGGCCGTATGCAGCACCTTCTGCATCCTTCTAGGCATTCTCAGGCTAAGAACCAGGATGCCCAGCAAGCATTCCAGTGTGAACACAGGCCTAGGAAGAGATGCAATTACAGAAAGAGATTGGTTTGACACTATACAAGGTTGAAGGTAAACTAAGTACTAGTATTTGGGCCTGTATTTGGGTTTGGGACTAGATGGTATTTCACCTTCGGGTTAGTGAAGTGCACAAAATACTCAGGGATTTCCTGTCTCTCACCTACCTGATGCTTCTTTTTGTTATCTCATTGCTTCTGACCTTGTTTTTCAGAAAAACTCTGTGATTCAAGAAAGCCACCATGAAAGGTGAGGAAGTTCGGCAGAGGAGAAAAGAGGGCAGGACTAGGAATGGAGAGCGACCCAGGCACAAAGGAAAGAACAAGGGTAAACACAGAGAGAGCCGGCTTGGCAACCAGGAGGCAGAGGATGTCTCCCTGCATGCACAGCAGAAGCTGTTGTCTGAGGAGAAAGTGGCCATGGCAAAGTCGCAGGAAGAGTCAGCCATCTCAATTTGCCTGCAAGTGCTCCTGCCATACCTCCTAGCTGGGCTTGGCATGGTCTTGGCAGGCATGGTTTTGGATTATGTTCAGGTAAGGGAGATAAAGCCATCTAACATAGCTGATATGGGATAGGTAGGGGATGTTTCTACAGAGGCAGAGGTTTTGCTCTGGGGATGACATAGTAAGGGAGGATTTGCAGCAGATTCATATGCCAACATGTCCTTCAAAGTCAACTATTATGTACTTCTATGCAGCTCTCAGGAGACAGCCTGTGGTGCTTTTCTGTCTCCTTTCCTCCTCTGGGAAAAAAAGACAATGTGGTACTAAAGAGTACATGAAGGACATGAAGCATCTATGTAGGAATGTGCCATTATGTCCAAAGATCTCACCTTGGTCCCGGGAAGAGGGTGGCTGACCCAGGGGCTGTGGTGGCACAGTGCTTTCCTGTAGCAGAGAGAGTGGTATCACTCATGGATATAGCTCTGGATAGTCCTGCATCTGCTGCTTCATTGTGCAATGAGTCAACCAGCCCAGCCCAGCCTGATCACCACATTCTTTTCTAAGGCCTCATAGCAGATGACTTGAATTCTTCCAGTCCAATTTCTGATTCTGTGACAGTCAGGATCAGACCTTTCCTTCTATGGTGCAGCAATACAGAGCTTAAGGTAGTGGCGAGCACTTAATTTTAGACAGTTTAAACTGCAGTTAACTTTCAGCTTAGACATTGCTGTGCCTTTGCAGTCTGGGTGATTCTCATTACTGTGTGCCTTTTTGTTAACCCCTGATACTTGACTAACTAGCTGTGAGGTCAGACTACCCTGACCTATCTGATACAGTGACACTGAAACTACTGTGCCTGCATTGACAACTTCCACAAATCTGAAGCTGTGTTCCTTTGTTATTAACCCAGGGCTGATCCCCCTAAGCTAGAAGAGCTATAAAGGCTTAAGAGTGACACGATATCCTTAACTGACCTTAGCATGTACTTGACACCCAGCAGATGACAAAACACTAAGGCAAATCCAGAACCCAATGACAACTACTTTTTGCCTCCTTAGACATTATTCTGAGAATCCTGAGCATTGAGCAACTGCTTCCATTTTTATTGTTTAGACCTGCCCATTCCTATGGATCTCTGACATTAAATGTATGTTGCTTTCCACTGTGAGTTATTAAAGCACAAAATAGGTTGCAGATGGGTTTATGATTGTTAGAAGCTTTTCTTTCAATGTTTCTGCCCTAGAAAGTTTTTTTTTCTAGGAAGAACTGAGCCACTAATATGAACAGAATGTGAGGCAAACCTCATTCTCCTCTGAAACTGCAAAAGTCTGGTTTCTGTTTTGGCAAATAAAGAGCTCACAAAGAGTTGCCGTGTTAGTGCTTAGAGCCTAGGAAATGAACCCATGCAACATCTCATAGGAAAAGCAGGCCTTTGGTAATTAGCACAGTGACTGTTCATGCATGTCATGGGCTATTTGAGCACATCTCATCATGGATTTGCTGCTGCTAGAAACTGCCCTTTCTTCCTGACCCAGTCCTGATTTGCCCCTGCTGCTGATGTTTCTGTAGGACAGCAGTGGATGCTGTGAGGCTTTGGGCCTCAGGCACTTTCCAACTGCCTGCTCTCAGGCTCTCCACATAAGTTTTCTTCTTTGCCCCTAAAGTGGGGAATCACAGAATATTCAGAGTTGGAAGGGACATAAGGATGATCGAGTCTAGCTCTGGTCCTGCACAGGACATCCCTGAGAATCACACCATGTGCCTGAGAGCATTGTCCAAATGCTTCATGAACTGTCAGGCTTGGTGCTGTGATCACTGTCCTGGGGAGCTGTTCCAGTGCCCAAAGAGCACTGGAAGAGAAGAGCAAAGTTAGAAAACAAGAATACACAGAGAGCTTACAGAGTCGGGAGTGAGACTCTTGAACAACTGGGACATGCAGTCCCTGAAATGCATCGTCCTTCCTTGAGCCCAAGGCGTCAGAATAGTGCTGCCTGTGGCTAACACTGCCATATTGTAAGAGTGTTCACTAGTTTTCCTGTCTCTTCTTTGCAGGGATGATGATGTACATCTGAAACTGTACTCTTTGGCACTTGTCGTCTTTCTATTCTGTTTTTTTTTGTACTGTGGCAATGGTTGGGGGCCCTAGATCAGGGCTCACCAAAGAAGCTGTTCCTGCTTTGACTCTTCTGGGGCAATGCTACATGTTAGCTTGTTTGCAAGCTTGGGTATACAGTGTATTTGTGTGCAGAGAAGGGCAGCAGTTCATCTTCTCAGGTTTTACCATGATGAGTAGTACAGCCATGAGGTGTGGTGGTGTTGTTTTCACCAGTTAGTTAGCAATCTTTTTCCCACTGTTGAGCAATGCTCTGTTTCTTCTCCAACGTGATGCATCTCTTTGTGGACAAATATGGTATATCCCTTTGCCAGGAAAATATGATGCATCTCTTTGCTGACAAATATGGTGTGGATCTTTATCAGAGGATCTTTAAATGCATAATGAAATGACCCAGTGTACACACACAGGTCACCTGAACCAATTACCTTCTCTGCATATTGATCATCGCTTGAAGACTTTTTATGGTGCTTGCTTAGAAACAGAGGGAGCTGAAGCGTGATAAACTCATAAACCCTGCCTGGCAGACACTTTAGTACAGGATGTGTTGCTACTGTGTTTTTTAATGGCATATGAGTCATTCGTGCTCATTAATATTTTCTTTACATTAGTGTTCTGCCTGTCAGCAATCCAGTTGGATGATACAGTGGCATATGGAACTAGGTATGCACATTATTAGATCTTGAAACCCCATGACAATTGTCCAGAAATTCTTTTATTTCCTTAAAGCCTCTGTGAGTTACTAACCAGAATTGGGCCTTCATGCTGTCAGTCCTCTGTTCCCAGCGGTACAAAAAGGTTCGGTCATATGTGGTTATTGCAAGACTTTTATTAACCTCCCTCTTCCAGCTATTGTGGGGGTTTTTTTTCCAGTTAGATTAGCTGAAATGTACTCTCCTGTTAGCTTTCAGCTAACCAGACCATTGTGAGGTGTAAGGGCCATGCGTACACACCAAGCCAGTTGGGAGTGGAGAAGGCTTCAGGGGCTGTACCAAAATATCAGCCTAGAAAACAGCAAAGGACAGAGTCTCCCATCTGTAGCTTGGGCTTGTTTTCCACTGTGCTATGCTTGCAGGAAGATCTGCTCTGCCATCTCAGCCCATTTGGCTCTGTGCTTTGGTTTGTGTGAATTCAGACCAAAGAAACAGTGTCTAAATGGCCAAGAGATTCCTCAGTTCCCTATTTTTCTGCAAGGCAGAAACATGTCTTGTTCTCTCCAACCCCACTGATGCATGTAGCTCCAAGCTGGGAGCCCTGTCACAAGGACAGAGTCCACAGCCTATTAATCTTCATGTCTCTCTGCATAGAGTGTTAGGGAAGTTGATCCATTCTAAATTGTGTTTTTCAAGTTTTTTGACCTTCTGATTCAATTAGTTTGCCCAAGTATTACAAAGGAGCCCCAGCATAATACCCTGACTCCTTTCCTTACATTTGTGACTTTGAGCTGAAGCCTTTATTGAGCAGGATACAAATTCTTTGGCTGTATGTGGCCACAGTGCAGCTCTGGTTTTTGACCTTGTGTCAACTGCCTAACCATGGAGGCTATGGGGTGAGACCCCCTCTCCCAAAGACAGTATCTTCCCAGGAGCAAACAGAAGCAGTCTGTTTCACTGTAGGACAGGAAGGGAGACCAGCTCACAGCGTGCCCTTTCCCTTGCCTGCGGTGTAGTAAGATTATGGAGCTACCTTAAATAAGCTCTGGCTATGACTCTTATCTTGGCCTTTGCAAACTAGCAGAAAGTTGAAGTGATGACAGCAGATAAGGGTGTTCACTTTTGAAGCTTATTGGTTGGTTCTCTGAACTTTTTTTTTCCCTCTGGGAGCCAGTCATTCAGAGGTATAGCTGGCAGAGAACTTGTTATATCCCGCGGAGACCATGGAGGGGACACAAGGGGCAGGGGACTAGAAGGGCAGATCTTCTCCCCCCAGCCAGCTCAGCTGTGTCCCTTGCCTGGGGATGAGACCTGCTTAGTATCGTCAGCCATGAGAAATGTGGACTCATGTTTTCCGTGACCTTTCTTCACCTTGAAGAAGCACTAAATGGATTGTGGTTGTTAACTCTCCACCTCCTCAGACTTGGGACAGTGAGGAAAGTTCAACAGTGCTTGCTGTGGGAGTGAGAGGACTGGGGCCGGATCACAACAGGCTTACATATTAAGCCACCGTATCAAGCGGGAGCTGTGGTCTGACAAGAAGTGTAACCTGAGGAGAAAGGACACTAGTGCACGCTGAGGGATTCTTGCATGACCTGTCACTCTTTCAGTGCTGTAGCCTGAGCAGGTCTTACTGGTTTTTACTGAAGTGGTGGGAGCTGAATGGGGTGTGGGCTCATTTCTATTCGTCCACAGACATCTCCGCAATCTTCTCTTCTCTTTTTTAATCCCCCCCTGGATATAAATTGGAGAAATTGTGTCCATCAAGTTTGCTGTCACCTGGGCTCAACTCATCGGAATCAGTTTTGGAGGATACCTGTGCTGCAATCCTCTGGACGTGTTCCTAGGAGAAGAACAAGCTAAAACAATTTGGCATCATGGCCGTAGTTTGAGGAAAAGCATTTCTTCTGATTTTGGAGAGAGCTGCAAGAAGGATCTGTGTGATGTCCTGATCTCCCTACCTTTTCCCTGCAGAGCATGGGGTAATGGTGTGTCACCATGGTGGTCACCCAGTTACAATTGGAACTGTGCTTCCACGGCAAGAAGCTGAGAGGTTTCACCTGCAAGTTGACCAGGTCAGCCAGTGGATTTCTCCCAGAGACTTCCTTCTCCATTGCCTCCCAGATATTCGTGCCCTTCCTTCTGGCAGGCTTGGGAATGGTAGCTGCTGGCCTCTTGATGGATGTCGTTCAAGTAGGTACATGCGTTTAGGCAACTTGTAGTAAGAGGGTGGGCTGAGTCACTGACCTTGAGTATTTGTGCATTTTTGTTTTTAATGTGTGTGGTTCTAGCAGCCAGTCAGCAGGATGGCTGTGGGCTTGTCC